AACGTGTGTTATTAGGGAAATAGCGGGAAGCGGCGTTGATGCAGGATTGCGCGTGCGCCGTGAGCGTTTCTGATACTTTTTGGGTCGCAGTTGCTCGCAGCGCCGCTTCAACAGTGCGATACCCTCACGAGGGACGAGCGAAATTTTAAACACGCCAGAAGTCCGTGCGAGCTCACGACTGCTGATCGGCAGCTGGTCACGTGGTGTTAATCGCCTCTCGTAACCCCCTGTACACTACACGACCGCTCGGCGCAAAACTCGCCCCGATCTCGTGGATTCTCGCACGACTGGAAAATCGGCTCAAAAAAGTGAAAAAGTCGCACAGTGTACGCCCGGCTTAAGTTGTACTCGAAGGGGGGAAAAAAGCATTGGTGCGTTATTTCCAGGAATTAGGAGTGAGCCTCATCACAGCTGAGCTTCAGGATTTGGAGTCTTATTTCCTGATATTTAGACATCTCGCCCAGGAGTGGATAACAGCAACGCTAACCCCCAGCTTGCAACATGGGTGTTTTATCTCCACAAATAACACAAGTCTGGAGGAGTTCTGCTGTGTGGTGGAGTTGCTAATGCTAACAGTTAGCTTCTACTAGCCAAGACGTTCTCTTGGCTGTTTGCTGCGTCCCGGACGCTAAACCAACAACAGCCTTGCTCGTCGTGAGTCAAGATGGGTGAGTCCATGACGTAGATCTGTCAGGATTTTCTAATCCCAGAGTTTCACCATCTATTTTCTGTCAGAAGCTAATGCAGGAGAAAGGTGTAGGAGACTATTTTCATGTTCAGCCTGCATGAAAAACTCAGAGTGACTGATTATGATCAGAAGCAAGGTTTTAAAAAGTTTTTTCAGTGTTTCACACCTTTAAGTATTCTAGCCAAGCGACTTTTGCTTACTTCAGATTTTTTTGCTTAAACCAAGAATATTCGATCATTAAGTAGTGTTGCTTTTGCAAACAATCACTTTTTTCTTATTAGACTAAAAAAGAAGCTAAAATGTCTAAAAACAATACTTTACAGTGCGTTTGACTGAGATTTCTCAAGCATTATGTGGTAAAACTCGACTACACTCATTTTTCTAAATAGAAGGTATGATTATTTTTAAATGTAATTAAATGTTTTTTTTGTTGTTGTACTGTAGTCTATTAGTTTTTTGTATGCATGTTTTGTACAGTTACATTCATTCAGAGCTTTAGTCAAATAGGGCCTAAAATGTGCACTAATAATAGTTGACCAGTATGCAAATCTTGAATTCACTCACTCCTTCTATCATCCCCATAATCACGTGCATAGATCCCTGTAGCATGCAAGCTGTGGGTTGCGGTGCATGCAGGGAGAATCAGAGTATCACCGAAACCTGATAATGTTGCACAATTTCCTTTTTTCATGTTGAATTTAAAAAAAAATGCTTCTTCTTTCTGACAATTGTGTTTTCTAAACCTGACTGATCACAATTAGATGGACAGTAAAATATCCAAATCATATATATATATATATATATATATATATATATATATATATATATATATATATAAATTCCATTAATGAAACACGATTTTTTACCTTTTCTCCACTAGATGTGTTTAACGCTCTTCACTGTAAGTGGACAAATGGCAAGGATACAGCAATCTGGCCTGCTGACGCCTTTGGCCGCCTTTGTCTGTTAGGAGAATCACACCTCACAGCTTCAGTGTTCCATCAAGAGTCTCTACATGCAGAAGAGCTCTGCACCACCAGTAGGTGTGAAAAAAGAGACGAATCCTGTCAAAAAATCATCTTCACGACACGTTCTCCCCCTCTGCATGATATCCATCCATCACTCACTCACAACCTCCAGCAGCATGCCCTCCACTCTATATTGTTTATGCATGTAGGGATTTTTTTCTAATAACCTGATTTTTTTTAGGCAACATTAATCATCGGATCTCTTTTTTTCCTGCAAGCTGAACGGAGCTGAAATGATCCAGGAGGGAGAAAAATGACAACTAGAGAACAAAGACGGAGTTAAGTAAGAGAAAAGACAAACTTGTAATGGTTATAATAATCAGCACGGTGGCTAACCAACAAAGAAACAGGTGTGTGTGCATGTGTGTGTAGGAGGATGGAGGTGGCAGTGTGAGCATGCTCTATCTGCTATTTGCTTGACTGGTAATCAGGCAAACACGCCGCAAGTCTCCTGTTATGATTTGCCCCCCAGCGTGTCTCCAGTCTGAGCGCCTGTGAGTAAGTCGGTGCTTTTCTATACAGACATGCATGCATTTATATATTTATATATTTATTTATTTATGTAGCATCCAGACGGTATGCTGCATGCCTGCAGATGTCACAGTATTTGCATGCGACTTTGCATGTGCCTGAATGTCCACATCGCAGTATCGTTTGCTCCATGCGACTTCCTATGGAAGTAGTTTACAAGTTGTGTGTGTGTGTGTGTGTGTGTGTGTGTGTGTGTGTGTGTGCAGACATGTGTGTTTTCCAGATGGGAGTACAACTCCCAGGACATTTAATCCATAGGGAATTTCACGCCAGTTACCGCTTGTCATCAAACGAGTGAAATACTGCAGTGATGTTTTACTGGTTGGATATTTGGGACAAATTCACCGCCAGACTTTAGCATTTTCAACTGCCCTCTAGACAGTGTGTGTGTGTGTGTGTGTGTGTGTGTGTGTGTGTGTGTGTGTGTGTGTGTGTGTGTGTGTGTGTGTGTGTGTGTGTGTGTGTGTGTGTGTGTGTGTGTGTGTGTGTGTGTGTGTGTGTGTGTGTGTGTGTGTGTGTGAGAGAGAGAGAGGGGGAGTGGAAAAGTGAAGAAGACACAGAGTTACAGTTTTGTTAGACTTTGCATGAGAAATCGAGTTAAAAAAATCAAACTTTTAACGTTAAAGATCCAAATCCACTGAGCCTTCTTCGTGTACGCACTCACACGCACACACTCCTAAAAGCTGATCTGAAGCTCATGAGAGAACTGACGCAGTCGTATGTGTTCACTTACTAAGCTACAGCTGCTAGCACCATTACAATAATTTCCTGTGTGTGTAAGTTTCTCTGTTTGCCCCCTCAACCCGCGCACGCACGCACACACACACATCTAAAGGTTCAGTTCCATGTGGTTTAGTAGGAAACGTATTTTCTGTCTGATGGTCAGATGCTTCGTTGTAAAAAGTGACCCGGGTTGTGTCGTAATGCATATCACAGAAAAAAAATCCCTGTGACTCGTGACCTGAGCTGTAAAACAAAAACACGCAGAGTAAAAAAACAGATAAAGGACCATTTTGTTTCATAAAATAATCCTTCGTGTATTTACAGCGACTCCAAAGCTTCCAAATGTGAGCCTCACTGTTCCGACAAGCTGTTCATCACTTGTTTTTTGAGGACATCGCAAATGGCAGGCTGTCTCTGAAATACGCTTCCTTGTTTTACCTGACCCACTTTTGCCTTTAGTGTGTGTGTGTGTGTGTGTGTGTGTGTGTGTGTAACTGCAGAGAAAGTTGTAAATATAATCTTAGACACATGTTAATCTGGCTGATTTTTTTCAGACATATGTCAGCTGTGATTAGCATATCTCCTGCCAAGACTCAGGAGTGCTCTTTCGAGTTTGGCCTCACACACACACACACACACACACGCACCCTCAGACATATGCAGACCATTGGGTAAACCCAACTCAGCAGCCATTTTGAATGATTCCACCATCATTACTCAATGGAGCGATTTATCTTGAACTCAGCTTCTAAGTAAAAGATGAAAACTCTGACTGACAAGTTCAAAAACAAAAAAAATAATCTCCTGAAAATGTATTCCCAGCGACGTATCGGTACACACCGTTCCCCCTAACAGTGCTTTTTAACACTCCCTGGCCCCCTGCAAGAGACGTAAGCACAGGGTTCAGTTGGTGCATGGGAATGAAGGAAAACTGCTAAATCTCGCCGTCTCTGTAGATCAGCCGGAATAAGAATTCAGAACACACCCATCAGACAGTAGAAGAGGTGGGGGTCTCTTTTCCACACCTCTGTAACCCCACTCCCCGTCAGCATCTAGCATCAAGACAGGAGAGAACAGGTGCCCTTCTGAATGAGGAGAGGAAAGGAAGTAGAAGAAGAAACAACAAGATGGTGACTGACCAAATGCCCGGCGACAGATCCGGAGAAGGAAGACGGATGCAGCGTGGACAGAGGAGGGGGGGATGAGAATATATGTGCGGTGGCCGGTGTTGTGAGACCCGGCAGGTTGCTGTCACTTTAAAAATGACTGTAATAAAAGTGACCGTCGGAAGATGGATCTGGTGATTTTGGCTTGCTAATCAGTCATCTGTGAAGAGGACCAGAGCCCGGATTCAACGGGCGCCTGACACCTCGTGATGGATGTCTGTTCCCGATAAAAAAGGCCCATTAACTGTCCTCCCATTAAACCCGGCAAAAAGATGGGAAAATGGGGAAAATGCAGCTCCCTCCCAACTCGGTTCTCCTGATCTGTTTTTATGTTTAAAACACATATTCAGTGTGTGTGTGTGTGTGTGTGTGTGTGTGTGTGTGTGTGTGTGTGTGTGTGTGTGTGTGTGTGTTTTCTGGATTCCTCATATTCATCTGGGATTGTGGGAAGGATGCTAATCTGGAAGGCCATGAGGCCTGAACACACCAGCCAACGCTGAAGCCCTGTTTAAGCATCTTCTTATTAAATATGCAAATGCAGAAATAATCATTTCTCAAACAAATAAACAAGCTAACAAACAAAATAATAAACAAATAATTGGCCGCGAGTCTAAATTTTGCCACATGACATGAGTCAGGAAAGAAAATGGCCCTGCTGTTGAATCTCATATCTCCTCATCTCTCCTGTTCACACACACACACACACACACACACACACACACACACACACACACACACAGATTGCCTGCAATAATAATAACCCCACAGACGACAGCTTCAGCCCCCTCCTTCCAATTCCCCTCCTCACCCCTCCCTCCTCCCATCACCACTACCATATACAATCAAACAAAGCCTCACTCTTACCTTGCGCATGACCAATCCTTCCATCTCTCCCACTTTTTTTTTTTTTTTTACATATTTCCTCCTCCTCCACCTTCCTATCTATGCTTCCCTCTTTCTGGAAACCCAACCACACCTCAGCAGCGGCACCTCTCGCTGTCCCGACCGTCCCACAGCCTACAGCGTGCCACTCACACCCCAAATAAATGCAGCCCTAGTCTGCCGTTTTCCCATCTATCCCTTTTTCCTCTGCCCCAGACTTTCCCTCTCTCTCTCTCTCTCTCTCTCTCTCTCTCTCTCTCTCTCTCTCTCTCCCTTCCTCTCCTCTCTCCCTCTGTCTTCTCTCACCCCCCCTCGCTCCTGGCTGGTGCTGGTGAAATATCAGGGCAAACGGATTCCAGCTTTTTTCTCCGGCTCAGAGGGGTTGTTCTGTGCGATTTGGCCCTGGGGTGCATTTCAGCGCTTCTGATGTGAGAGACACAGAGAGAGGGGGGTGGGGGGGTATTGGAGCGAAGGAAAAAGGAAGTGTGGGTGTGTGTGTGAGAGAGAAAGGATAACTAAAGGGGTTTTAAAAAATACCAGCGTTGAACCAGCAACTTTATGCACGCCTGCTGTTTGGAGCTCGAAGAGGCCTTGAGGTGATGTCTATTCATATTCAGAGCCATCCACCTCCACGACAGGTGCGCGGCCATCTTGGAATCTGTCTGAGTCGCTGGACATGAGCGGGGAGCGTTTGTGATTGGGTGGAAGCCAAACTTGTTAAATTAGATGTTTCATGTTGCATTAAATTTGAGTGAGTGTGTGTGTGTGTGTGTGTGTGTGTGTGTGCGTGCGTGCGTGCGTGCGTGCGTGCGTGCGTGCGCGCGCGCGTGTGTGTGTGTGCGTGCGTGCGTGCGTGCGTGCGTGTGTGTGTGTGTGTGTGTTTCATGATCTCACAGCACACTGTAGGGTGTCCTAAAAGGATTTGTCATTCCAGGCTCAGTCAGCCCGATTGTGAATTAAAAGTATTTTTAGGCACCTTTTCTCCATCTCTTTGTGAACCCAGTCGCAATTGAGGTCAGGACACACACACACACACACACACACACACACACACACTATATTTTCTGAGAGAGACTTGTGGCTTTCAGAACAAATCACTGTTGAACTGCCCCGTGTAGAACGATTCTGACATTTTGTTTGGGAGAAGTAGCATTTAATTGAAGGGAGGAGTGATACGGATGGCAGTTATGCAACCAAGGGAAAATGTCTGCATTTCAACCTAAATTGAAAACATAACTGTGTGTGTGTGTGTGTGTGTGTGTGTGTGTGTGTGTGTGTGTGTGTGTGTGTGTGTGTTCAGTCATTTGCAAGCACCATTTTGATGTTATCCAGTTTGCTTCCTCGTTAGTTTTTTTTTGTACAACTCCAAATTCAGCAGAAACTAAACTGGTGCGCATTTACTACGTTTAACAAGCACAACAGGTTTTATTTGTAAGCCATTTATTTTGTTATTTCAGTTAACAAACCATTTAATTAACCACTAATTAAATTATGCAAATATTTGTTTTCAGGTTTCATTTGCTTTTATTATTCATTTTATTCATAAGAAGTCATAAAAGTTGCTTTTCTATGCAGATGACAGCTGATTGTTTGAAAAAGTCAGAGGTCAAAACCACACAGACAACAGCTGAGCTGGGAGAATTTTGCTCATTGGCATTTAGGAACAGTTTGCAGGAATAGATGCTTGAACTCAGGTCATCTGGTTTAATGATGGCCACCATGGAGGAAGCTGAAGAGCCCTCGTAAGGACTCTTCTAAGGCGGTGATGAAGACAGCGAGCATCTTTCAGGGTCACTGCACACCTTCTAAGAAATAAATGAGACTCCTGTCTCACTTTTATTTATTTATTTTTTTCATTTTTTTTGTTGTTGTTTTGGCATCCGCCACCAATCCATGCACGTTCAGGCATTGGCCATTGCGCCTCCGGTTGGTTGGTTGGTTTGCTGGAGGCGTCCACAACACACAAGCACACAGCTGACAACAGAAGTATGAGAAATCATCTTTTATTTTTAATTAGAGCATTTAACATTGTTTTACTATTAAACACGCTGAAACAACCTGCCTCATCATTTTTATTTAATTTCATTGTATTTTTTACCAGAATGTCTAGATGTCAGTCTGTTGCCATGGAACTGCTGCTTGGTGCTGACCAAGTGGATGTCAGAAGAAAGGCAGGGGAAGGTAGGGGAGGGGAGGGGAAGGGGGAGCATGGATGGGTAGATGATGGGCCGCGTAAGGTGGAGAGGTGAGGGTCCCCAAGAGAGGGAGAGTGGGGGCTCTTGGGGGTCTAAATTGACATGTTCAAGCTGCTACGATGTCATGAAGAAAGCAGTTTAATAAGCAGACAGTAGAGGTCTGGCTTTCATTAGGCCATCAAGTGAGAGGCCTCTGAGTGTAATATTATTATAATGATCATTATTATTATTATACTAAGTGGTTTATATTTATATTTTTTTGTTTTATTTCAAAATAAAAGGCAAAATTATGTGGAGCTTATTTATACATTTTATCAATTAGTGTTGTGTTTTTTTTATATGTTTACATGGATCCGTTCTGTTGTAGCCACTAATTCAATATTTAGGTGTCTTTAAGTTTGGCTTTAATCAGGGCCAGAGGCTGTCAGAAGTGTTGATGGCGGCTTTCTGTGTCTTTTTCTTCTTCCTTTGTCCAAATATGGAGGACACTGTCTTGACGTGTGTCTGCTCAGCAGAGTTCAACAATGAGAAAGATCGGAGGAGCAGAGGGGGTAAGTGGGAGGAGGGCAGCAGGGTGTGTGTGTGTGTGTGTGTGTGTGTGTGTGTGTGTGTGTGTGTGTGTGCTGATTTCTTCTTCTGAGAAACATGAAAGGAGGATGAGGAAGTGTGCCATGTCCCCCATACCTCCCTTCATTGCCCCATCTCTCTCTCTGAAGCAGCAAACTTTGCCTAAAGAGTAAACACCCCACACACTCTGCCCCTTCACCCTCTCTCACCCCTTTCCTCTGTCTCCTATGATCTCAATTGCCCCCCTCCCCTCATCTCTCCCTTAACTGCACCCCCTCCACCTCTCCTGCTGGAGAGCCCCAGCAGCTGTGGTCCCATGTAAATTTTACATGATTGGCACATGCCCCCCCCCCCCCCCCCCCCCCCCCCACACACACACACACACATATCATGTTGCATATTAATGCGCAGTTTGCCAAACAGCTCATCTGACAGTGCTCACCGGCTGTCAAGTCCGTGCGTCATTTGCATACGTGATTACCAGGCACCTCTGATTGTTAGCTGGTTGAAATATGATATTTGGTGCGCGGGCAGATCACGGGAAAGTGGTATGATGAGGCGGAGAAGGGGTGTATGGGGGGGCATGACCCTTGAAACGCAACGTAATACCGCGGAACCCCGTTTGATTGGAGCTTTTTTAACTAATTGTTGTCATCAGCGCTATCAGGAATGCATCTGGATGCACTTCCAACAAAAAAAGTGACTTTCAAGAACTCTTAGGCTATGCATGCCCCCCAGCGCGCGCGCGCGCACACACACACACACACACACACACACACACACACACACACACACACCTTTTGCCTTTTGGTGAATTATTTTAATCTCATTAATTATTCCAATTAGAGAACATATGTCTGAACAAAGCTGGCTCTAGCAGTGCAGGTTTACAACGCAATTCGGAATCAATAAGAACAAAAAAGACAAAACACACACACACACACACACACACACACACGCACACTGAGTCCAATTAAACCAGCCCCCATTTAAGGTGTGTTCATTTACTTCTCATGAAAATTTTCCAGAGGTCCTGATGACAGTTTTTGTGTTTGTCCCACACTCTTTCTTTCCCCTCACTCACTCGCCCTCTCTCTCTTTTCCGTGCTTGTCTACCCCCCCCCCCCCCCCCCCCCCTTTAAAAGGGAGCGGAAGAGTGGGCTGATACCGGTATCATGTTGCGTATGGATTTTCGTTTATATAATCGATCGAAATGACCCAATACATCGATTTTGGGTTCAGTGTTTTACAAACAAGCGTTTATGGGTCTCGATTTTACGTTAGGGATGATTCCAGTGTGACACCGACGAGCCAAGAAGTCTTGCGGGCTTGTTGATTTCTAAATAAATGAGCTAAAAACGAATAAATAAAATATATTTTTCATGAAAGGATGTTTAAAACAATCTGACTATGGGACGGGGAGGAGGAGGGGGAGGTATGGAAACAATGGGGTAAAAGACAATATTGTGCTGCCTCTCTCCTTAATCAAATAAAGTGGTGTAAAAAACAACACACCCAGAGAGAGAGCAGACACACACATACACGCGCGCGCACACACACACAAGCATTTCCTTCCCTCTGAATTTCTCCTTGAATTATATGCCATCACTAGTGTGTGTGATTGCGGAATATTAAATTAAAGTGGGATAAGTCCGCACCGAGGCGGGCTGCGTCCAATCCGCAACTCATTTCCCCTGTTGTAGCACCGCATCACTGCGCTCCTCTCTTTCAATGACAATGTGCCAAATCTGGGCATTTTGAAAACACTTTCCATATGCTATTATCGGATCGCTACTGAGCAGGAGAAAGACAGAAAAGAAAAGGAAAACGGAATGCTTTATACCAAAGGTACCAAGAGGTTTTCTCTTCTTCCCTTTTCATGGCTTTGTTATTAGACTTATTATTATTATTATTAGGTTTGCGCTCCTTTTTGAGAGGGATTTAAAACAAGGTAAGAGGAGGTGAATTTGTAGTTTTTTCTTCTTTATCGATTAGGTGTTTATGGACGGTTGCTGGAGAAGTTTGGAGGTGAAATGTGTCTTTTCAGCTTGTTTCGTAGCTTTTTTTTCACCCACTTCGGATTTGTCTTGTGGAAGAATGGATCTTTTGTTTTTATTTGGGTTTTGGAAATTCAGATTTCTGCTAAATGGTGCTTTTGATTCCTTGTTTTTTATTGTTTTTTATTTATTTTTGCATTTACACGTTTATTTCTGACACGTCATTATCCCCTGCAATTTTTTGAAAGATTTATGACCTTTTAGATGTCAAATTTCAGGCTTTATTTGGATCTTTTTTTCTGTGGATTTTGGTGGAGTTGGTTGCTAAGTTGTCCTTAACTTGTGCGCATTTGACTTTTTTTTCGGGAGCTTTTGCTTGTGTTTCCTGGCGGGTCACAGTGGCAGGCTGCGGGTCAGAGATGTGGACTTTAGCTGTTTTGTGTGGGTTCTGGTGAGGATGAGGGGTCAGCTCTGCAGCCCCAGGAGGGCGCCGACGCACAGGGCTAACAATAAAGAAGTCTGGCTGCACTTAGAGGGGGGGCATTTATTAAATCTGTCCAGGTGTTTGCTTGAGACAAAACAAAATGACAACTTAATTGTTCGAATAATTAAAAACAAATCAAGCAGAGCGTCAATTGAATTTTCCAGAATGTATTGATGGATCAACAATAGTCCTTTCCCCTGGCATCTCCCAGCGAGTCAAAGCCAATATGGTCAATTCTCCGGACGATTCAGAATTATTGACCTCCTGAAGTGACAGGAGAGCCCTTTTATTTATCAATCTTTGCATCAAAATCAACCCAATCCTGCTGACGTTTGTATATTTGTAATATTCATACAAAAATGCAATTAAATCAAGATAAAAAAGTTTAATTAGAAGTTTTATAAGCTAAAATGTTCCACTTACACTCAGGCATACGCGAACACTCTCGTGCACTGGTGCGCACGCGCACAGAGACGCAGGAGCTGGAGTTTGCAGATAGAAATCTATAATTAATTGCGGATGGTGCCGATATGGAAATGGAGCGAAATATTCGTTCACGCGCGCTATTGTCGAGCTGCGTCCGGAGAAAGAGCATCGTCCGCGGGGAGAGAGGGATGGAGGAGACGGGGGAGAGAGAGGGAGAGAGAGTAGAGGGGGGTTACAGAATGCAGGAGGTTAAGAAAAGCAGTAGATTGTCTAAATCCGCTTTGCTCTTTCTCGGGTTTTTCTTTTCTTTTCGTGGAAAACAAGTAAAAAATAATAAAGACAAAAAATAAAAACGCATCTCCGCTGGAAAAAAATGTCGCTTCTGTTTAAATAAAAAGGCAAAACGTCCATCTTTTCATAAAGAAACAGTGAAAGAGTAGAAGAAAAACCTGGCTTGTGTAAAGTCCTCCGATTAAATCGCTAATAAAATCCACTCCTGCACTTTTGTTATTTTATTTTTGCGCCACCGCAGAATGAGCGGCGCGTCTCGACTCTCCCAAGCCGTGTGTGAGCGGCGCCTCTCAGGGCTGGAGAGAAACCCCCCTGGAGGACAAGGAAGCAGCTGCAGCAGCGGCAGCAGCGAGAAGCCCTGGGTCCGGGTGGAAAGTGACGCTTCTGTTCATCACCTCGACCCACCCACCCTCTTTGTCAGGGACCTCTCTAAACCCAGAATAAACAGCCTCAGGTCGGGCTCGAGATCTTTTGGCTTCTTAAGGATCCAGTGGATGTGAGCGCAGTTCAGTCAGCGAGGCTGCAGAGTAGACCTCAGCAGCAGCAGCAGCCTTATCATCACATCCCAAGCCCCGGCTCACGCAGTTCAATTCACCCCAGCTTCGATTTTCTTCTCTTCCTTTCCACGAAGCCGAACAAGATCTCTTGATTTTCGAGTCTGTAAAGACTCCTTCTTGCCCCAAAAGCTTCTAAAAGGAAACCGATTTTTTTCAGGGGGTGGGGGACAGTTTGCATTGAAGGGAGAATCCAGCCAAAGATCCGGGTCACTCTGTATGAGTGAACAACAAGAGGAGGATTTTTGGGGTGACCCTGTATTGACTTTCTTTTTTTCCTTTTCTTTTTTTTTTCAATTTGGCTCCAGTGAACCCACACGGGGCCCACAGCGATCCCAAAAGGGCAGAAAAAAGATTTCCCAACGTGTGGGTGACTGGAGCTGTGTGGGATTTGGGAATGTTTACATCCACCTTGTGCGTAAAACACTGACTTTTAGAAAACAGGGAACACACTTGTGCCAGGTTTTGTTTTATAACTGCACCCATGTGTTCGTAAACGTGCATAAGACGCAAAGAGGTCCGAGTTGACACGCGTAACAGGATTGACGTTGGGATTTTGATCCTCTTTTATCCGTTTTACGCACAATCTGAGATTAATGAACTGGAAATGAATTATTGTAAAAAAAATCAAAAATCCACCTTATTTTTAATTATTTTTCTAAATGAGTGCTTATAAATTATTATGTACCGTAAATATAATAGAAAACAAGCGTAAGAGACACGTTACACACATATTAAAAGCATGTTTACACATTTTAAATAAAAAATAATCGCTGCCTCCAGTTTCTCTGCAGAATAAGAAACCGGAGATTCGTGTTTAAATCTAGATCTTTTTATAAAACCAGACTTGTTGGAACATGTGAGTAATCCTGAGTAGAGCCTGTTTGTTCTCCATTGTTCTACATGTGATTTGGCCCTCCAAGAGAAGCCGAACCAAAAAAAAGTATATTCCGAGCGCACAGACCTGCTCGGCCGCCAGGGCTCCGCGCGCGCGTCATTTGCAATGTGGAGACTGTTGATCAACTCACTAATTACACTTCTCCCCTCTCTCCCTCCCTCTCCGTCTCCCTTTTTGCTCCCTCCCTCTCTCTCACTCTCCTCTCTCTCCCCTCTCTCTCTCTCCTCTCTCTCTCCCCTCTCTCTCCCCTCTCTCTCCCTCTGTCTCTCTACCCATTCCCAGAGTGCATATCGGGAAATAGACACACAAAGACATGCGCACTCAACTTAATCAGCCATTTTTTTAAACAGGGCTAAAACGATAATAATTAGCAGAATAAAGACATATCGGATTTTCATTTCCTTTCCTCCGTGTCCCGAACCCCCGTCCACAAGAGAATCTGCGAGGCAGCCCGTCGACACGTCGTTTCACCGGCACCGGAACCAAAATAAGGGATAGCTCCTCTAAAGCGCTTGACATTTGTGATTTTACTCCGTTTTCGCATTATAAAGTTGGAGGATTATTGTAATTTTCCCTGTTTTTCCACGTTTTTTGTTGTCGTCTCGTTACGCAAGCTGCTGGATGTGACTGTTTTATAAACCCAAGAGCAAAGAGTGGAGCGGAGGTGACGGTTTTGGAGGGGGAAGAAAGTAAGTTTTTTTTTCTTTCCACCTCTCCCTTTAACTTTTATTGAGTAGTTTGGGGTGTGTGTGTTAAATTTAGGGCTCGGGTATCGATCATCTATCTGACTGGAGGATCCTTGACACCGGGGCTGCCCGGATAACAGGTGCTGGGTGTTTTTAGACCGGATCACAGGGGGATACCGTGATGTTAGTGCAACTCCGACGCTTTGGCTGCAGCAGCACGAGCGGCTGTTGGGATTGGAGGCGTTTTTACGCATGTGTCCGCGGTGCGATCTTGGCTTGGCTTTTACAAACTTGATATCACGTTTGATTTATTTTCCTCCCAAGTACGCGCAGATTCAGACACACAGCTGTTGGGTTCACAGGAGGACCGTCTCCCACCGTGTGTGGCTTTGCAGTGCGGATATGGTGCCTTCCTGGAGTCCGATCCCCTCGGACATGTCCGCTCAGACTCGTTTCCTCTACACGTTTCCCGGCTTTTTGTTTTCTAACCTCGTTATTAGTCTTCCACCCAGAAGTTAAAGTCAGGTTTTGGATACGCAAAGCTCAAAGATTGTAGTTTTGAACAAATCGGGATTTACGCACCGCGATCGCCTCCCGTGCACATCTGAATACGCATAAATCTTTTCAAATTGATCATTTTAGACACAACATCTAAAAAAACAAACATACTTTCCAGCACTAGATGTATTTCTGTCACCTGCTGGTTTGTAAAAGTAATCTGACTTTAACGAGTTGCGAGTGGCTTCGTTGCCTGGGAAGGGGGAGCGATCGCTGGACAGCTGAGAGCTCAGCGTCCCCTCGGAGGCACCAGCTCCCGGTTCTCTCGGATTAAAGATGCCTTAAGCATCGGCATCTTTAACCCAAATCTCCAATTTACTCCCAGTTTCGTGTTGTTTACACACTTCCATATCCAGCTTTCACTTATAAGTTGAGATTTCAACACCCCGCTCGTGATATACGGTTTGAATTTTCTCTTTGGCCATCTGTGAGGCGCTGCGTCTGAATAAAGTTCAAAATCAGTATTTTGTTATAATTTAGAAAAGACCGGAAGTGGGTGAGAGGATCTCGTGGGTGTTTAGATCGTTTTTCTTTCCTGAGCCATGCCAGACTTGGCTCAGATGGGGTCGACAGTGACAAGGGGGACGTCGATCGCGCTGAGAAAAAAAAAAAAAAAACATTAGGGCCAAGGGGCCAGCCGGTCTCTAGCCCGGTACGTAACGGTACATGGCGTGTGTGTGTGCGTGTGTGTGCGTGGAGGAGCGGTATTCGCTCCACGTCTTTTCACAGTTCTGGTTGGGTTTGTGTCTGTTTCTCACCATTTCTGTATCGAGCTCATATTGTTTTTATTTACCAAGAATAAGGCTTCTAATTAAGCTTTCCATCATTTATCATACTTTTAAAAACATGTTTTCATTTCAGACCAAACCCACAATTTTTATAAAAATGTTTTTGGATATAAAACAAATCAGAGGAAATCAATCAGATTTTTTAATTTAGTAAAATAATTATAATAAAAATTATAATAATTATTATTATTATTATTATTATTATTATTATGCATTTTTATTTTTTTCATTCCCTGCCCATGTATACATTCATTTAATATAAAAACAACATTTGTTTCATTTTTACACCGATAAACAAAATATATCTTAATTTTTACATGCAGATCTTTTCTAGATCTTATTCCACTTTATTGCATTTTCATTAAAGCCTGTACGTTGCAGCACAAACATACACAACTCAGGCCTAATAATAAAAGAATTATAAGTCTAATTTCAAAGAATTGCATCAGTAATGATGGTGTGGTCCCACTACACAAGAAGATACCTCCCCCTTTTTTCTCTTGTAAATGAGTACATTTTTATTGTTATTATTTTAGAATAATTACTGCAGAGTCCTCTTGTTATTGTTTTTCTGTGCTTGGCGTCTTACCACTATCAATTTACAGACTGTGTGTTTCTCCCCCTCTGAGTTAAGCTGTTTGCAACATTCATTTTAATAGTATAGGGGAGGATGAAAAAAAAACATCCAGCGTAAAAGATGAGCAGACAGCCCTCGAAGGACAAAAGCTGGTGGCTTGAAAACGCTTTTTGATTATTAAAAGCTAATGCATTTTCAGCATTGCAGCCTTCATTAAGGGTGTGGATGGAGGGGGGGGGGGGGGGGGGCAGGAGAGATGAGAGGGAGGAGGGGGAGTGAGGGAGACAGGGGCTGAGTCTGTCCTATAACTCCTGGGTCTAAGACACATGCAGCTAGAAGATTGGCTCGGGCCTCTCCTAGGGGTCGACAATGTGTCATTTCCACCCGGCTAGATTGCCCTCTGCCTATCTGATATTAATGTGCAAATCAATATTTCAGGGATTAAATTTCCCTTCTTCATTTTTTATGGTTTCTACCTCAATAAGTCTCCCGTCTAATAGAGGAGGCCGGGTGATTTAGAAGCCCTTGCTGCAGAAAGAGACGGAAAGAAATAGAGAGGAGCTTTGCAACAAGGCTATCGCTGCATTTTAATGCCCCCTCCTCCCATAGGCCCTTAGTAAATAGGGCTATATCGCCACTTTACACTGAAAAGACAGCCAATTTGGCTAAAAAGGCAGAAAGGGAAAATAGGAGTCTGGTTGAATACTTAAGACGCTGTGGTAATCCGAGAAGCAGGTATTAGTGGAGGAGACACCCCCCCCATTCCAAAAGACACACGCAGAGCTACATCCAACCCTGCATTACCAGCCGTCATGCTTGAGCAGGCAGTATAGCTCGCTGGACTGGACTACTACAACAATACACACACACACACACACACACACGTATTCTTTGTTATTTTTCACCCTTTTTCGAGTAGAAGCCTGTCGACACCCAGTGGAGAGATCTACTCTCCGGCATAACAACATCTGGCGTACGATGGAGACGAATAACTCTGACACAATGACCTGCGTATGATTATTGGAGAGGGGAGGAGCATATTACCATAGCCACAATGCTGCATCTCATTGAGTCAGCCAAATGAGCTTGGACTCCATGACTCCCAATAGACATTCATTAGGGGGACAGTGCACACAGAGGCGTCTAGCTCCGCCAATAGGTGTGTTTATTTAATCCTGCTTCCTGTACCATCTGGTGCGTGTGTGGTGCACGCGTGTCCGTGTGTGTGCAGCAGCAGCTCGGTGTGAATTTCCCCTCCCCTCAGCCCCAATCGCCCCCTGTTCATTCACCCTTCTTGCAGCAGGACACCGTGGACTGTTTTAGCATACCCTTAATAGGTAGAGTGTCCAGGACTGAAAAGAGAAGGGGAAAGAGAGAGAGGAAGAAGCACAAAAGGACTCTAATTGTAGCTCGACCGCTTGGCTTCCTCCCTGATTCACGGCCATTACGTTGTGAAAAGCACAACCGCCTGTCCTCCATTATCAAAACGGCAGGTGTACACACACACACACACACACACACACACACACACACACACAGTTGTATTAATATTTTTCAAATCTTGAGTCAAACTAACTTTTGTCCTTCTGAACTTTTGCAGAAACACATCCAGAGTTTTCTTGTTGAATTGACAAAGAAAAACACAAGATAACAATTTACATTTAGTGTCCCTTTATGAACATGACTTAGTGCATTATTAAGCATTAATAAACAAAGGGCCCCTTTATTAACATTACCATTATTGGCCAACTATTAAGTGTCCTTAAGGTTAGGACAAAGAGCCTGGGGTGCAGTCTGCTGAGTAATGCATTACATAATATGGTTGTGTGTTATTTAACAGTTTACTATTGCTTAATAATGCACTAAGTAACGTTAATAAAGGGACTCTTATTATGAAGTCTTACCAAATGTTATTCTCAAGTACAAAAGTACCACGTCTCCTCTGTAGCTCAAATGTATAGGGATAGTTAAGAGCTGTGTGTGTGTGTGTGTGTGTGTGTGTGTGTGTGTGTGTGTGTGTGTGTGTGTGTGTGTGTGTGTGTGTAAAGATGCAGTAGTAGTATCAGGGTCTCCTGGCTCAGGAAGGCCTGCATGAGGGGGAGAAACTAAGAAGTTCACTGCAGCTCAGCATTACGTCTCAGAGAGGGGAGCTTCCTGTGTCAGCCCTCGGGGCACCGCTACTAACACACGATTCCATCTCTCCATCTGATACACACACACACACACACACACACACACACACACACACACACACTTCGAGCTCGACAACGCAGAGGAGGGTTAAAGACTTGGAACGAGATCAAGCCCGTGCGTGGCTCCTGGGGAGGGTGCTTGTGAATATGCGAGTTTTAGTGTAATTAGCACTTAATTATATTAACATATGCAAATTGTCAGTCGGAGAGCTTGTACTGCCGGTGGGTATCGGCTGAAATACAAGTGACTCTATTGTACAATCGCGGCAGAAAGGAGAATAATGGGTGTGTGTGAGGCAACGGGCCAGCCGCCAGCAGCGAGCCCACCCCCCACCCCTTCTCATGCTAGCACCTAACCAGCTAGATCGTTTAAGTCAAACACCAGCCACTTTGCCAAATTTCATTAGTCACCATGACGACATTTCTAATTGCACTGACTAATATCCCTGTCCCTGACCTGTCATCGGTTGGGATGGGTGTGCTGCATCCTTTAACCACTGGGCCTGAGTGTCCAGATTCAGCTAGCTCGCTACAACTTCTGTTTGCAGCGTTTCAGCTTCTGTAAGCATATTCAAAAATACCCTGTTAGCTAGCTGTGTGTGTGTGTGTGTGTGTGTGTGTGTGTGTGTGTGTGTGTGTGTGTTTGCATGTGTGCAGACAAGTTTCGGCGCATGCAGAGGCTTTGTGTTGCCAGGACCAGCAGTTCATTTGTGTGTCTCGTGTGTAACACACACTCTCTGTGAAGTGAGACCTGTGTGCTGAATTAGTTTCCTCATCATTGTCCAAGGCTGAGATTCCAGCAAATTAAGCTCAAACCATTAATAAAAGAAGAAACTTTCCATCTAAACATCTAATTGCACCACCAACTGAGCAGCTTGACTTCGCTCTTTTGGTGGCGGGGGCTGGGGGGTGCACAAACATTTAACGTTCTGTGCTTCCCGATAGCCAAAGGTGGGTAGAGACTGGCCTTAGCTGGTGCTACTCGTGCTTGCATGCTAATCCTGTTTTTTGACAGGAGCGTAAACTGATATAATTGCTTTTCAGAGGCAGGAACGGCAGTTTATACAAGTGTGAAAGCACGGGGAAGGGGATTAGCATTATTTTGCATAATGCTGGGCAGGCGCTGAATGGGGCATTGAACGCTTGACTGGGTGACAGAGATGAAAGAGAGATGAAATGCTCTACCTCTGTTCTCTCTCCTGGCCCCCCCCCCCCCCCCCCCCCCCCCCCCCCCCTCTCTCTCTCCCTTCCTGCTCCTGCCTCCCAGACTGCCACCGGTGCACGACTGTCTGTGCTGCAGAGACGCCCGGAAACACCAGGCCGGTGTTCTTTGGGTGTTTGTTCAGATGCTAGCAGATGGAAGCTGTCATGTGAAGCAATATGTATGATAATAGAGTAACAGTGGAGACGGGTAAACTCCCTAAGCCTCCCTCTATAAACTAAACTGGATCCCTAAAGCACTGGAGTGTACAATTTTGTTGTGGATGCTTGTGGCTCAGGTAGCATTTACATGGAAGGAAGGGAGCGGCTTTCGCGGATCAGACCCAAACGACACCGCTCTTAAATTTCCCTTTATTGTGATGTTTGCGGAGGATTTGATCGGATATCATCTGGGCAGAGGCGACTGTAAAATGGCAAAGCAGGTGTGTTTTATGCGCCTGCCTCCATGTGCGAGGTGTGTGTGTGTGTGTGTGTGTGGGGAGGGGAGCACAAGAGTGGTGACGCGGCTCAAAATTGCCACCGTGACTTCCATATGACCCAGCTCGACTTAGTTAGTAATTTATGATCAACCGTCATCTTCTGGCGTATGGAAATAATCCCGGGTTAAGGGAGGGGCACGAGGTTAGATGTTGGAGAACACGAACAGGACAAAGGCCGGTGTGGCCTGTTTTTGTTGTCTCTCATTGGACGGGATCCTCTTTCTTTGACCTTTTGCACGCCTTCCCTTGCCTTTCATATGCTAATCCTGGACAGACCCAAGGAGGAAACACGCTGGAGCTGAGTGGAGGAGGACAAAGACTCCCTCTCTTATTCTCTGCCTCCTTTCCACGCCGTATCTTCTCCTTTCTTGCCTCTTCCCCTCTCCAGCAACTTGACAGATTTTGGCATGAAAGGAAGTGAGTGCTTAGTGGATGAGAAAGGTGGGGATGCCATTCTCGCTGTGACCTGCACCACCTGTGAGGATCAAGTGTGCTGCAGCGATCCTGGGTGATGTGTATGTGGAGTCTTATTTGGAGTGGCCCTTGTTATTGACGTTGGGTGATGTTGCGAGCCACACCGCAGACGGAGGCGGCCGGACAGAGATTTGTTGCTTTTCCAGTAAAGCTGGTCAAGTTGCTGTACAGGCTCTAGATTTCCCCGTCTCTTTTAGCTTCGCCAACTTCTCACAACCAGTAAAAGTACTGTCTCTGGTGGGGTAAGAGGATACTAATGTAGTTACTACATCCCACTCCTAGCATGCTGCTCATGACGTGGTCTCAGGGCTGTTATGGGAAGGGGGCATGTTATCTGTAGGAAATGTAATTTTTGTCCTCATTGAAATCGTTCATTATTGAGCGCGGTTATCTAAATGTTTTTGTTGCTGTTGGTCGAGCGCCAGTCAGGATTGCGTTACCCTCTCCCTCTCTCTCTTTCGTGTCCGTCTTTCCCTTCCTCTCTCTCTCATCTCGGCGAGCCTTCATCAGACTCTTAAGGGAAAATAAAAAATGGGGGATTTTTCCTCTACCCTCTGTGCTCTGTCCCGTTCTCAGGCTCTCCTGCCTATTTTGCATGAGCACCCCCTCCTCCCCCCATACAGGATATTAGCCATGGAAAAACATGGGTCTGGGTATTTGGAATATGTTTATTCTTTTCGTTTCAAAGTGGAAGTAGGGGGATTTGGTAGGGTGGGGAAAGAACAATCAGGGCCGTGCGTCTGAGTACTCGTTCTGTTTGATCTCGGGTCCTGTGGGCCTCGGGAAGGGGCAGAGTCTTAGGTTCAGGTCAAATCAAATGAGCTGTAGAAAAAAAAAGAGGTCTCTCTCTTTTTTTGTCACTTTTGCTTCCTTTGTATGTTTTTTTTCATCTTCCCTGTTGCTTTTTGTTTCATCTGTCATCGTTGGATGCTGGTGGTCAGGTTTGGATGCTGGTGGTCAGGTTTGGAGAGAAGTTTTCCAAAATTGGGATCGGACTTTTGAACCTACGATCATTTTGATCCAAATTTTCATTGCTGCTCAGTTTATTTCTGCACATAAAATTAGAATTTTAGTTTAAATTGCAGCCATGAAAACAATTTCATCATATTCCAGTTTGCCAGTGTAACTTTTAATGGTTTTGATAACACGTTACAATAAGGGTCCCTTTGTTAACGTTACTTAGTGCATTGTTAAGCATTAATAATCTATTAAATAAAGTACTAACAACTGCTTAAGCACATTACATAATGCATTATGAAGTAGACCCCCCCCCCCCCAATAACCTTAAGGACACTTAATAATTAATAATGGTAACGTTAATAAAGGGACTCTGTTTTATTAATGCTTAATAATGCACTAAGTAACATTAATAAAGGGACCCTTATTGTAAAGTGTTACCATGACTTCCACATCAAGTGTACACCAATTTACCCCCATGCATTTTTTTACGTGCAAAAATGGCAGAACACACTTGTAGCATGTGATGTTTTAAATATTGTGTTGCCATAAGTCCAATTATGACCCCATTTGCTCTCCAGCATGGTGTTTAGCAATATTTATTTTTTATTTCCAAACAGTAATACTCAGATGAGATGCATTTTCCCGTGACATCCTGCTGGACATTCATCTATAGAAGCTCTTCGCAGCTTTTATAGCAGCACTGTCTGAAACATGTCTGTCCATGGTTCCGTCTTGTTATTGATTGGTCAAACAGGAAATTAGGGTCAGATTTTGATAGATTTGTGTAAAATGAAAGTAATTTTGATCTCAATTAAAAAAAATTCAACCGCCAGCCTCTTGTCTCCTTAAAATGTGAAATCTCTAACTGGCTTCTCAACTGAGGGAGTAATTGTGTTTAATTAAAGTTGTTAAAGCCTTCACCAAAACAACCGTTATGATTGTTTTCAATAGTTGAGCAGATGGAATAAACGTGTAGACCTTTCAGTCTTTGACGTTGTTTGTCCTCTATATTTCTTAATGCATTCAATGTGAAGGACACTCGCTCAGCTCTTCAGGTCCACGTGAGTGCCTCAAAGTCCTTATCTCACATATTCAACAAAGTGTTCAGCAGCCTTTTATTTTAGAAAAGGTTTGTCCCTTCCGTGCTTACCGGCAAAACAATGCGCCGCACAAAAGGTTATATGCCAAGTTTTATTGATTGATCTCAGAAGTATTTTCAGGGCTATGAAAGCTGGCGAGATGAAACAAAACCACGAAAAATATGCACAGCTACATCATTCAAACAGAAGTTAAGCAACAATCTCTGAGCTCAGAGGGGAAAAGAAGTTGATGAATGACTAAGTCTCCCCAGGTTTAAGGGGGGAAAAAACACCCCACAATAGCACAAGATGTCTCATGACAAATGAGACATTCTCTTCCCCGTTGGCCAAAGACAACGGCCAGGATTGAAAAGGCAAAGAGCCCGGTCACAAGATGTGCACATTAATAAACCTTTAGGAAAAACAGAAAATAACACAGGAGAGAGACTATATCAGACATCAACTCGGCCATTTTTTCTCCCTTTCTGCGATCCGCAGTCGTCTGCATCTGTATTCCAGGTTTGGGACTTGATTGACATGTGGTATTCCTGAGAGGAAAGGCATGCTGATATCAAGGCCATTGGCAAGGTTTGTCAGGGAATAAGTGGCTTGTTAATTATGCATGTCTTGTGGTCTTAAACAAACAGTGTAATGAGAGCTGAGGTACTAAAACATTTGGTTTGAACTGCGTGAAATCTGATCCACTTCTGATTGACTCCGATTTCAGTTGCAAGGATAGCTTGAATGCACATTTTCAGAACCGTGTTAGAAACCAGTGAAGTCAGCTTGATTGCTTGTGGAATGTGCATGTGTGCTTTTTGAAAGGAGAGAAGAAAATGAGAAAAAAGTTCCTCCGTTTTCTGTGACAGAAAAGAAGAAGAACAGAGCACGTCCTGGAACGTTCTTGTATATCACATCGTAGGTATTAACAGGGCCAGTTCTGTCAGTGGCTTCTCTGATGTATCTGCTCCGTGCACTCAGACTAAATAGAGAGGAGGGGAGTTTTGCTTTGGTTCATCCCAGCAGAGATGAGCAGATACAGGAAGGGCTTTGAAGGAACGGTTAAAAAAAAACACGTTTTGAAGAATGACCTCACTCTCTTTATACAACCTCTAAACAAGTGTCATGGCGTTGTGATGGATTGCTTTCCAATTCCGTTTGCTTGTTGGAAACGTGTCCTTTTGGAATATTAGTACGTTAAAAGCAGGACTAATTTTTGGTGTCATAACTTCATTGATTTTCTCTCTCATCTCTCGTAATGTCCGTCTGTAGACATAGGAGAAGCAGGCCTGAAGCTTGGCCTCTATGGTTTTTTATTTTACAGACAGTGGTGGATCTAGGATGTTTCTGAGGCCTAGTCCACACGTAGCCGGGGTTTTTTAAAAACGAATATCCGCCCCTCCAAAAACTTGCATCCACACCACCGCGTTTTAAAAAATAACTCTGTCCACACGTACCCGGAAAAATACGTTGTTAAGGACATGCCAGACCTGTAGGCGGCAGTACTTCCCCCGTTCTTAACCTCGTCCTTCGTCTGTGGTCTTCCGCAAGGAGCAGTAATTCCGCTTGCAAAAACAAACAAGCAAAAAGCGCTTGGACAATTGATGGATCGGGTAGTGACAGAGCGCAACTCTGAGGGCTGCCATGATGCCAGCTAGTGTAAACACAGGTCGCACACGTGATGTCAGCATTTTTTTGTCGCGGAAAGTGACGTTGCGGACCTTAAAACTCCGGTTTTGTCTGTCCACACGCAGACACCCAAAACGGAGAAAACGCAGATCTTCACTTTGGCCGGAGTTTTTAAAAAGATCCGTTTTCGTGTGAAAAAACTCCGTTTTCATGTGGATGACAGGCCAAAGCGTAGAAAAATATCTGCGTTTTGGCAGATCCCCGGCTACGTGTGGACAGGGCCTGAGTATGGGGCCATCAAGGGGGCCACATATTAGTCCAGTATCCTTATACAAGATTGCGTGCTGAAAACTCCTAATTGGCTCATTTGGACAGAAGAGTGACAAGACAGGGGCACATTGGGGGGCATTGGCCCCTTTAGCCTTGCCTCTAGGACCGCCAATGTTCACAGAGAAAAAAATGTAAATTTATCATTCATATGTAATTTGAATATGTTACTATCTTACTTATGTTCCAGTAGTGGTTATTTCCTGCAGCGATCAGTAAGATAATGGGCCCATTTTATCTCCGCTCCTTCTCAGCAGGCTGGCCTAGATCTGGCTGACGAGCTGTATATTTGATAAAGGAATATTGTGGCTTAATCTAAAACTATGCTAATTACACATGACAATTGTTTGTTTGTAGTGAAATCTAATTAAAATGTACACTTTTCAACTCATCTGCTTGTTCTTTTATTTATTTATTTTTTTCTTTTGGCTTTATCTCCTCTCTTATATTCCTCTCTATCCTCCTACGGTAACTGGAACAGGAGTCTATGATGGCATAAACAACAACTGTGCTTTGCTTGTGGTTTATTTTATTTATTTATTTTTTGTGAGAAGAGGGCAAACTAACAACAGCTGTCAGAAAAAAGGGGGTTTGTTTAAAAAGCAAATGGCTTTGGTCTAAAGTTCATTTGGAGACCTCTCTAATTAAATAGAGAGCCGAAAGCTTAAGTCAATTAGTAATTCCCTGGGTCCAGAAATTAGACCTGTCACGAGTAGTCAAGCTCTTGGAGAGCCAAAAGGTATTGTGTATTTTTCCACACATCCCTGTAGCCTGTTTCCATCCCTAAATGGGTGTTCATTTGTGCTTTTTCTTTTCCTAATGTAAGCACATTCATCCCGTTGAAATGTTCGAGGCATTAATGGCCTTTTTGTGTAACTGGAGTGTTCGAGACATCTTTAAGTCAGTCAGAGGCACATAGCTCGTGGCGTCAGTGAGGATACCTGCCCTATGATTATGTTTATGAAAATAATGACAGGGCCAGGGTCCTGTTGAACACTGCCTGTACAAAAAAAACAGCGAGGGTCTGAACTTTTTAACTTTTCACTCCTGGAAAAAGAACCAGATTGAATCAGAGCTTAATATCGTCAAAGGTGTCTTACTGTTTCCAGTTAGGGTTAGGGTTAGGTGGAGCAAACACAAATCAGCTGACTGTGACACAGTGGAGAGACAAGATGTCCCTACCTGTTCAGGCCATAATTGAGTAATGACAAGTGTCGGAGACAGCTAGCAAACACGCAGCTGTTGTAAAACCCATTGACTCATGCACGGCGGTTTCTTTGCTATACCCAATAATTTTGTCGCTTGATATTGATAGTGTCGTTTCACCAGATAGAGCAACATTTTTGACATATTTTTCCCTTAAAAGGGATTTTGCAACAAGTAGCATGAGCTAGCTTGTAATGCTTAATAATAGCCCTCAGCAGGACCACGCAAAACACATTTCAGAGCTTGCTTCCTGTTTTTAATTTAGCACTGCCAAGTTTTTAAAACCATAGATGCAGGCTGTTTCGAAATAAAGTTGTTTTCCAGAGTTTTTGCAGCAGAATAAGAGCTGAGAACCTAAACCATGGGTAGCTGGTGCAGAATAACCAGTCGTTTATGTTTTCCAGGTGGATCTGAAACGCCTGTGTCAGAGGCTGCGCTCTGTGTGTCTGTAAGAGTGTGCACACTATCCTTGACTGACGTGGACAGTGTTTGCTTAACCTCTTCTGCGCTGCACTTTCAAGGCCTTGTCAGTTTTAAAAGTGTGTGCCAATGATCTCTTTAGCAATGGCAGCTTTCATTTTTCCACCAACCTGCAGATTCAGCGCTGATTTGATTCCTACACGCCCTAAACGAAAACAAAAAGATTTTATTTTTATTTTACTCCAGGCTTTGTATTTAGCAGGATTAATAATTTCACCGGCAAATAATCCCACCCGGTCACCCTCTTTGGCTTGATATGTTTTTTTTTTTTTTTTTTGCAGAGATGATGTGTGTATTTGTGTGTGTATGGTCTCATGATTTTGCCTCATTCCAAAAAGATAAGGCTATGATTTATGTAACAGCTTAGCACTCTCATATTGTGTATGTTGTACCTTACAAGAGCATGATGAGCAGGGTAGATTAATATTTATTTAGCACAGGCAAATCAAGGATTAAGCAGTCATCATTTTAGCACTAATCCGTGTCTCTGGTGAGATGCGGAGACAAAGCGAGGCAGATTAGTAAACACACAACGCTGCAGCACAACAATTAGTTGGTGACTTGTTTTCCTCATTCATACAAATATGGACAGGAGATTTCACACACACGCACACACACGCACACACACACACACACACACACACACACACGCACGCACGCACTCACGCACGCACACACACACACACACACACACACACACACACACACACGGGAAGTGGGATTTGCATCCTACTTCTTCATCTATTGTCACTATTTCTGAACCTCTCTGCCTCAGAAGAACACTTAGTTGAAATTAGCAGTGGTTTGTCTGAATCACTCGTCTGACGTAAATGTGTCTCATGATCTTTCCGCTGTCCGAACACACACCGTGCACACACTCGCGCAGCCGCACACTGTGATTCACATACACACGGGGACTAACACACATGCATGAGCAATGAATACTTCTTTCTTAGTTCCTATACCACGTGGGGAGAGGGACAGTTTGCTTAAACTGTGTAAATCAGTGTGTGTGTGTGTGTGTGTGTGTGTTGCAAATTACTTTGGAGTCTGTAAATAAATTACATTCTTTGCTAATTGAGTTAAACTGCTGTTCTGGAGATGTAGTGAGAAAAGATGAAAGCTCCCAGTGTGTTGTGGGTCTGCATAAGTTTAAATGTGTGTGTTGACATGTGTTGGGCTGGTCATCTACTTTGTTCTTAGACATTTCAGGTGTTGACCATATTTTTGTTTGCCTGTTGTGTTCTCATGCGTGAGTTCACCAAACATTTGGCCCTCCAATCGAGAGTTGGACATTAAAGACCAAGTTCACTCATTTTTAACTGATTTGCTGCGATCTC